AAGTGTCAGATGAGTGCGCATTCCGAATTTCTGCAAGAGCATTTTTCGAATACGAAGAGGAAGACTTTCGTGGAAAGTCTGCACGCGCATTTGTGCCGAATGATTGTCTTTCACCGCCCGATCCTGGCGTTTTCGCAGAAAGAATTTTTATCTACACTTGTCTAGATCAAAGGGAATAGGTCCATTACATTGGGGGTAAATGAACGAAAAAGTATCTGGTAATGTTAGTGAAAGTCTCTTCATTTATTTTTACAATGCGTAACATCACAGCACTCGAATTATCGCACATTTATCGAGTGATGTCCTGGAACTGAGCCAAATGCCACGAAGCCCTTGAACTGGCCCAAATACCTTGACTGTCAATGGAGTGATGAAGATATGAATCAGATATGAATTTTTATCTAGACTTGTCTAGATCAAAGGGAATAGGTCCATTAAATGGGGGGTAAATGAACGGAAAAGTCTTCAAAACACCCGTTCGTTTTTTGCCCGGCAAACTACTGAGTTTTGCCCGAGAAAACTGTCCATTTGAAACTTTGCGGGGGGGGGGGGGGCCAACCACCACAGGATTTACGCCCGTCTTTTTCATTTCATTTTTTACGACTTGAAAATATTGAAACATACTTTGCAAAAACTAGAAATTTAAAAAAAATTGAATCAAAACCGGACGTTTGTGATGTTACTTATTCTTGGCCTTAAAAATGTGGGGGTTTTTACTTCTTACAGGGAGATGTATATGGAAGACCAAACAACTCGAAAATTACATGCACCAAAATGATGACAGTCCACCAATATCTGAACGAACTGGTTGACACAGATGTTGTTCGTGAACAAATCTTAAAACATCGTCCGAAGTTAGAACGACTTCTATCAGACTATCGCCCTCCCTTGGTTGAGAAGATCAGTGACTTTGACCTGGATGTCATCGAAGTGTCAGATGGGTGCGCATTCCGAATTTCTGCAAGAGCATTTTTCGAATACGAAGAGGAAGACTTTCGTGGAAAGTGTGCACACGCATTTGTGCCGTATGATTGTCTTTCGCCGCCCGATCCTGGCGTTTTCGCAGAAGGAATTTTTATCTACACTTGTCTAGATCAAAGGGAATAGGTCCATTAAATTGGGAGTAAATGAACGAAAAAGTATCTGGTAATGTTAGTGAAAGTCTCTTCATTTATTCTTAGAATGCATAACCTCTCAGCCATGGAACTGGCCCAAATACCTTGATTGTCAATGGAGTGATGAAGCAAGAAGCGTGTTGAGTAAGGCAGATATCAGATATGAATTTTTATCTAGACTTGTCTAGGTCAAAGGGAATAGGTCCATTAAAATGGGGTAAATGAACGAAAAAGTATCTGGTAATGTTTGTGAAAGTCTCTTCATTCAATTTTAGAATTGGTAACCTCACGGCCCGGGAACTGTCCGAAATTTAAATAATTGGTCACCGATTTGAAGATATTGCTCACGGTTTTCAATTCCATCATAAGACCTGTTTTTAGAATATGCCTGCCTAGTTTGGCATTTTAATATTCAACAATATTTGAGTGATCAGATTGAGAAAGTCCAAAAACGCGCACTAAGAACCATATTGTCTTCATTAAGCTATTGGCAGGCACGTGAACTGACCGACCTCCCATTACTAAAAACAAGACGTGATGAACTATGTGACCAATTCTTCGCGAAGAATTAAGGTAACAGACTAACAGTAAAGTTTACGAACATCTGATTTGTAAAACTTCGTTAGATGACACGAGGTCAAAATGTAAATATAAAAACTTTTTATGCAGAACGGACAGATTTGAAAACTCGTTTTTACCACGAACTATCTCTAAAGAAAATAGTAAATAGATCTATTGTATTTTAAAATTTTTACTATAAACATCAAGTAGTTAATTCTCATTGTAAATATAATGAAGTTTTCTATTGTAAAGACCGATGCAATTTAACCTACGGTTACAGTTAGCGTCTTTGTTCTTAATATTGTAGGATGTGTGCTGTGCAATGGGCGAAACCGCCAACCAACATCGAGCGGTTGCCTTTGCCCAGAACTGCTCCGCGACATTGGCAGATTAGCGTCGAAAAATACGAAGGTACCACCTCGGCCCTTGCAAGGAATTAAAATTCCACGTGCAGCATTGGACCAACTGTTCCTGGATTGGATTGACTATCATAAGTTTTACATGATTATCAAAAATCAACAAACTGCAGTTTCACTATCTGTCCGAGTGTTTCTACAAAGGAATGAGCATTTTGTATGCCAGTATGATGAGAATAGTGCATGTCATCGATAGCCTATGTCAGCTAAATGGATTCTGTCATGGTTGTAGTTTAAATACTAGTTTATTTTATTACCTGCAGTAACTATTATTACTAATTGATAATATTTTACAAACAGATGCTGGTGTTGGAGAAAACCCCAGAGAAGAATACAATTCAGTCCAGGGGTCCAATGACGTCACTCCTACCAGACAGCTCTTACCAGACTTTGAGACTGTCACTGCAGTAAGGAAAATATAGAACAGTTTGTTTTTTGTTACAGTAAAAAATACAAGCAAAATATCAACAGCTTAATATTGTAATCAACGTAGACCAGCGTCATTGATTGTATTGGTATGTGTTGTATGGGAATACTCAGTATTACTATGCAAATTAAACGGATATATTACAATATACCAGCAAATAAGCTTGTGGTTTTTAAAATATTTAGAACAAGAACTTATATAACAACTAGAACTTATATGAATCTGTCAGGCATAGTTTACTCAAGTGATGTTTACTCAATTCTTTTCCATTTTATTTTTTAGGGCTTGAAAATATTTTTTTTTTAATTTTTTTTTTTACAATAAGGAATTGAAGGCACAGACAACAGGACTAATAAAGTCCCAAATTAAGTCCTGCCATACATGAAAATACTACGCTATACTATGCTATACTATACTATAAACGGTTATAAAATTAACAAAATACATAGCTAGTTACAT